ATTTCTATGTAAAACTTTGATCCCTCTTTGTGACCCCACCCTGACCCCGGGGGTCATCATTTGAAGAAATTTGAATCTATACTACCTAAGGATGCTTCCATATCAATATGACTAATAATGGATTTCCTGTTCTTGAGAAGAAGATTTTTAAAAAATTTTCCTATATATTCCTATTTAAAACTTTGATCCCCCATTGTGACCCCACCCTACCCCGAGGGGTCATGATTCGAACAAGCTTGAATTTACACTATGTACATGTAACGAAGGTTTCCTATAGGTTTCAACTTTTTTAGGCCAGTGGTTCTTGAGAAGATTTTTAAAATATTCCACCAAATTTCCACTATTTCAGAGTTATCTCCCCTTGAGTAAGGCGTGGCCCTTCATTTGAATGAACTCGAATCCCCTTTACCCAATGATGTTTTTTTTTTTTTTTGGCAAATTTGGTGGAAATTGGCCCAGTGGTTCAGGAGAAGAAGTCGAAAATGTGAAAAGTTTACAGAGGGACGGACAGACGGACTACAGACAAAATGTGATAATAAAAAGCTCACTTTAGCTTTCAGCTCAGGTGAGCTAAAAACTGAGACCCCGTGTCAAGGTAGGCGTTGGCACAATCAAGAACCCTCACTGCTCAATGGCCCTGAGTGCCGAGTAGAGGTCTAATTTTGAAGCCCTTCACCGGTATATGGTGACGTCTCTATATCAGTGAAAAACGCATTTTTTCAAGGTAGAAATAGTTGCTACTTATTTTTTATCAACTTAGGTTAGTCGCGGTCGGGGCTTGATCCCACTACCTACCGATCACAGAGCAAGGGCTCTACAGAATGAGCTACCGTGATGGTGGAAAACATGGGAAGAAAATCTTTAAAATTCTTCTGTTTAAATACAGCAAAGCCATGATTAGTAATATTGATATGGAAGTATCCTGAGATAGTGTAAATTACAGTTCCCCCCCCCCCCAATCCGTTCAATACTGAACGGATTTCTGTATTTCCTAGCCAATGAGCTCAGGTGAGCGATGTGGCCCATGGGCCTCTTGTTTAATAGACTTGTTCAAGAATCCAATATATCGGATATCGCATGATAAAATGTTGTATCGAATCGTATCGAATTTTTTTGCCAATTACACAGCCGGGGGGGGGGGGGGGTTTAAAATGTCCAAAAATTGAGGGGGAGGGACTTCTCCAAAATAATCCAGCAATTTGCCAGTGCTCGACCTTACAGGAAGAAAAAAAGGGGGAACAAGCATCGAAATGAATATTTACTCTAGCAGAATACTATATTCAGAAAAAATGCCCCCTCCCCCCCCCCCCGGCGTTCTGAGGGCCTGGGTTGTGAAATACAAAGAAATATGTTACTATGATAGACATTACTATTACATTGAAAAGTAAAAAAATCAAAAAAGATTTTCGAGATAAAAAATAAAAATGCGTCAATATAAAGTTGCATAGTTAGAACTTTTTGAAAAAGTTTCTCCCATCTCTTCATACTACATGCATTGCCTAGGGATAAAATGATCTATGAGAAGCGAATTACTACATGTATTTAGCCTAAAGTCATTAACCGAAACGGAAATCGATAAGATTTTTGTAAAGTCTAAAACAATTTTATGACCCCTTTCACAGTTACTGCCCCTTGCACTATAAAGCTTGTTATCGCTATAAACCGTAGAGATTTTATTTCTTGTGCTTAACATAAAAACCTAAAATTTTAATTGGCCAGTTGTAAAACATGGGACAGACTGCAATGTGATTGCAATAGACATTTGGCCTTAAACACCTGGTCAAGCTCAAAGTAAAGGTCACTGATTTCTGAAACTTTCATTTTTTCAACTTTTAAGCCATTTCTGGTCTCTTTTGCATAAATTAAGCTATAGAGGATTAAATATGAAACATAAATAAATTTAATTTAAAGAAGGTGGAAAGACCTCTGATTGTTCTGTGAACAATTAGCCTACTAACTGTCTTTGTAATCCATACATATGCTCAGTGTTTGCCTGATTATAGATTAAGATAAACTCCTAACAAAATTGATCAGGAAAATATTTACACCGTAAAGAATAAAACTGAAAGAATACCAATGATTTTTCGTATGTCAAAAATGTATATATACTTTTACATGTACATAATATGTACTGAATTACTTTAAAATTGAATTTCTCCTTCACAAGCAATGTAAGTATTTGCTTCCAAAGGATTTTCAGACCATAACACGTACTTCTCTGACCTAAGCAAAAACCTTTTCTGAAGTAGATCATCTGTGAGAAGAGAGCCTTCCATTTTCCCAAAGAAATATAAAGATGTGACGTTGCAGATTGACGGTGAACGTTGACGCAGATATCGATTTTTTTTTCAACGTGTTTGGACGTTTTGACGCGTCTAACTTTTGTCGTTGTTTCTAACATATGGATAAATTATTTTCCTTTATATATTTAAATGATATCTGAATTTCCTAGTCCACTGATTTTAATAGATATAAAATATTTAGAAATTTATTCGAGACTGGTTTCTTAACTACATCTATGACTTATAGTGTAACTTGTATGGGTGATGTATCTATGGATGCACACTACCTGATTAACAGAAATGATTATGATGCCAGATCTGACTTTCACCTTCTGGGTAAATGAACACTTTACGTTTTGAGAGCTGGTGCATTCCCGAGTAAATATAAATCCTACCAAAATACCAGAACATTCGTTTAATAAGGATCTTCCCTAACAAAAAATACTATAGTAAACTATAGTTAACTATAGTACCAAAGTAAAATCTTTGGAACTTTGATTTACTATAGTAAAAACTTTGGAACTTTGATTTACTATTGTAAAAACTTTGAAACTTTGATTAAGTACGATAAATCCCGTGGAATTATGTTTTTGATTCCCATTCTTTACATTTTATGATATTTCAAGTTTAAGATTCATAAAAGCTTTAGAGAACATTTTAAAAACCCGACCCCTCCCCTAAAAGAATTATGTACAAGATATGAATTTTAATGTAAAGGTCGGGCGCTTGCGCCGATAAATAAGCAATATTTATTTCAATGTATCTAATTTTAATGTTATGCAGATGTAACGTAAGTCTTATTTATGGAGAAAAAATAATATATTATAAAAAAAAAATTGTGTCATTAAGAATCAAAATATCTGCTTCATCAACTTCAGTCAACATGAATTTTTTTTAAATTTATAAATGTGAATGTTGCATTTGAATTAACTACTTTGTATATTTAAATAAAGATATACAACAAAAACCAGCCCCAACCAACCCCATATCCACCCCCTCCCCTAAAACGGCTAAATAATAATAAAAAAAAAATACATAAGTTGTTAAACTAATAAAAAAAACTTTGAAACTTTGATTAAGTATAGGGAAAACTTTGAAACTTTAATTAACTATAGTAAAAACTATGGAACTTTGATTTACTATAGTAAAAACTTTGGAACTTTGATTTACTATAGTAAAAACTTTGGAACTTTGATTTACTATAGTGAAAACTTTGGAACTTTGATTTACTATAGTGAAAACTTTGCGACTTTGATTTACTATAGTTAACTATAGTAAACTATAGTTGACTATAGTACTTTTTTGTTAGGGCGACCTTGCATTACCTATTGATAACATTCGGCGAGGTGACTTCTATCTTTTATTATCTGTTTAAATAGGATCATAACATGGAACACATGTGCTACTCCATATGATAATTTAATTACGGACGTTCAAGATGTTCAGATTTAGTATTTGGTACTTAAATTTCCATAATGATTGCAGTTGGGAAGCAAAGGAAAATAGAAAATGTAACTTGCGAAATATAGATTTCATTCGTCCGTTAATACAGTAGTACTTGTAAGTGTGTATGTGGACATGTCTTGCCGGGTAATATTTTAAAAAATAGAACAGTCATGTTCAATATCAAGTATTGTAAACGTATATTTGTACAGGGGCCATAAGACCGCGGAACATTTACTGGCAAGATTAAAAATATATAGCCACGTCATTTCCATCTTTTACAGTCAAAACATTTAATGATAGACTATGGGCGGGTACAATTCGACACGGACACGGACGTCCGAGAAAACATTGGATTGAAATTCTAGTTCGAAATTCATTTTCAATCCAACTGAGCAGTTTTCAAACGCAAAGTGTGAATGTATGATCCAAAAGATTTCAATTTCCAAATACATGTTGTTTGAAATTATAGTAGTGTGTTAGCTCATACTTTTAAGGACACGAAAAAATCATAGAAGACAGAGATTATTTTTTCAGGGGACCGCCATTTGATTCTTGAAGGGGGGGGGGATGTCAAAACTTGTCGAGTCAGATCATGCCCTCACATGACAGAATATATTTTATTTCTAGGATGACAAGAGCTATTTTTTTAGTTTTGTCCTCACTGAAAAATGTTTGACAAATAAAAACTGCGAGGGGTATTCAAAACTACAAAAAACTTTCTTATTTATTTCCAAGATCGTTCAGCCCCCCCCCCCCCCCCAACACTTATACAAAACAGAAATCAAATATTAGTCCCTTTATATTTCTTTAAAAACACTGGACAGAAAATTCTGATTTATATAAATTTCAATCTATTCCGAAATTGAAATTATTTGTTTTCTATGTCAATCAGTAACACCGTGCCTTCTAGCGTAGCTGAGGTGCATTGAAAATGAATTTTAAACTAGAATTTCAATCCAATGTTTTCTCAGACGTCCGTGTCGCATTGTACCCGCCCATTTCATTGTTTTGACTGTAATGGATGGAAATGACGTAAGCTGCATATTTCCAATTCTGCCCTTTAGTGTTTCGCGGTCTCAATTATGCAAAATCACAATTTCTGTTCAATCTGCGGGTAAAACGTTAGGCAGATTTTTTTTTATTACCATTTTACATGTATGTCTTAATCGCACTTTAAGTATACAACGACAAATCTCCGCAGAAAATTTGTGAACAAGAACATAGCGTAAATTAATCCTAGACGAAGTACGTCTACAGAAGTATGATCCCATGTAAAAACTGTGTCATTTTATTTTCAAACAAACAAAATCAAATTTAAAAGAATAGTTGTTTAACATATAACAACACCAATTTTTGTGTTAAGATTTTTTTTCACATAAAACAACTTGTAGGTTAGGTATGTTAGCCATATTTACGAAGTATTAAAACCCTAGATACATAACAGTAAGGCAGTATTTTTTCTACATTAAAACCAACTTTAGTGGACTAACAGTCAAGTTGGCTTGTTTTACACGACGAATCAGGGCATCTGAACAGCCCCTCAGGGCAAGGATGTAGCCCGTCTTCGGTTTCCCGTATGTTTGTACCTTTCGAAAAATACAAAATTTTATATTAAACATCTTCTGGCTGATGGCATGATATATCTGTATATAACTTGTTAGAAATACAGTTTTGCAATAATGTTTAAAATTCGGACATCATATAATGATATGGAGAATATTGCCTACTTTTTATATTAGACTGAAATGATATTTGAGAGCAATACGTGAAAAAATGCATCATAATTAAAAGCACTATTTCCATTTTTGCCAGATATTTTACAGTAAAGGGGCTGTAAATAAAATGCATGTACTCACTTGAGCAGCTTTCTATGTTGCACACTCTTGTTTCATTCGATGATCCCGAACATAGTTTACCTTCGTATTGCGGAGCTGGATTCAAACAGAATCTCTTACGGAGTGAAGTCCCTCCCCCGCATGTGACCGAACATTCTGACCAAGCACCCCAAGGTGAAAATCCTCCTTCAACAGGACAATGATTAATGTTACAATTCAGATAATCGAAAAAGTTACCATAACATGCCTTTCCACCATATTGTGGGGGTGGATTATTACATTTTCTTGCACGCGTTTTCACACCTCCTCCACAACTTTGCGAACATTGAGACCAAATGCTCCATTCAGTAAACCCACCGTCTATAGGACAAGAAAATTCATTACACTGCAGTGACTGAGAAAAGTTGCCGCTACAGTTTTTCCCACCATGCGAAGGTAATGGTGAATTACATTGTCTCTCTCTTCGTTTGGTGCCTCCTCCGCAACTTGAAGAGCAGACAGACCAGGATTCCCAATTTCCAAATCCACCATCCACTGGACAAGGTAATATGTTGCAATTTTCCGCATGTTCATGCTGACCTGTGCAGTTTACACCTCCGTACTGTGGAGAAGGGTTACTGCATGTTCTTCTCCTCACTTTTAACCCTCCGCCACATGATGTGGAACATTCCGACCACAAATTCCATTCATTGAAACCACCATCAATGGGACATTGATTCTCTATGCACAACTGTGATTCACTGTATAAACCAGAGCAATTTTTGCCACCATAATGAGGCCTTGGGTTTGCACAGAAGCGCTTTCTAGTAGATAAACCTCTGCCACATGTAACTGTGCAAGGTGTCCAAATTCCCCATTCTGAGAATCCACCATCAATAGGACATTGATGAGTGTTGCAGACACCATATTCGGTGCTGAGACCCTGGCAGGGTTTCCCACCGTATCTAGGAGATGGACTAGAACAAGTGCGTGTTCTGTTTTTAGATCCTACGTTGCAACTAGAAGAACAGATTGACCATTCACTCCATTCAGAGAAGTACCCATCTATCGGACAGAAAAATGTGTTACAAATATTCTCTTCAGTATACACTCCACTGCAGTTTTTTCCGCCATACATTGGTTTTGGCATATTACAATGTCTTGATCTTTTCTTAATCCCTCTTCCACAACTTTGAGTGCAGTATGTCCATGTTTCCCATTCACTAAATTCACCGTCAATGGGGCAGTTCTGGGTATTGCAATTTAAAGATTCTGTAAAATGTCCGGTACAAGCACGACCTCCATGTTCTGGATCAAAACAAACCCGATTTCTTGTATGTATCCCACCTCCACATGTACGAGAACAAGGAGTCCAAGCTTCCCATTCACCAAAATAGCCATCAATTGGACAAGGAAAGGTTTTACATTCTATTTCCTCAGAGAAATTTCCACTGCAATTTCTACCACCAAATAACTGTCTTGGAGAATCACATAACCTAGTTCGAGTTTTTTTCCCTCCTCCGCAACTTACTGTACAATCTGTCCAACTGGCCCATTCACCAAATTTGCCGTCAATTGGACATTTATACGAATTACAGCTTTTGCTTTCAGAAAAAACACACGTACAGTTATGATCTCCATTGCACGGATATGAGTGATAACATTTTCTCACTCTGCTTTGAGTTCCACCAAGACATGTACTGGAACAAGAAGACCATTCTTCCCACGATCCGAACTGTCCATGCACTAGGCAAGGACTAGTGTGACATAAGACATATTCGACAAAGTTTCCTGAGCAGTTAAGTCCATCGTAAGCTGGAACTGGGTCATCACAATATCGCTGTCTGAACATCAATCCTTCTCCACATGTCTTTGAGCATACTGACCATGTACCCCAATGTGAGAATCCCCCGTTTATTGGGCAGTTTACAACTTTGCAATCATCTTCTTCTATAAACTCGCCAGAACACATTCTACCCCCATAAGCTGGTACTGGATTATTACAATCCCTGTATCTTTGCCTTTTTCCAGATCCACATGTCTCACTGCAGTCAGACCATTGTGTCCAGTCGCTGAAGCCCCCGTGAACTTAAAATAAAGTGTAAGCAAATGAACCCTATAAAACATCTTAATCTGCCTATCAATCATCCATACTAGATTAGTTTCATTTTCTTAAAAATATGAGCAACTTAAACTTTCAAATACCTGGACAGTTATGGTCATTACATGCTTGGGTTTCTTCCCATATACCGGAACAATTGGATCCACCAAACATTGGCGTGGGGTCTGTGCAATTCCTGTTTCTTGTCCTATATCCACCATTACACATTTGTGAACATGAACTCCATCTACCCCACACGCCAAATTCACCATCTATTGGACACGGATTTGTATTACAATCTATACTTTGTTTATCTTCACAAGGTCGCTCTCCATTTCTTGCTACGGAATTATTGCAAAGTCTGTCTCTTTCACGAATTCCTCCTCCACAAGAAACATTACAATGAGTCCAGGAACTCCAAACAGCCCACTCGACATCAACAGGGCATTTAGTAATGAGACATTCTTCCGTCTCATTGTAAAAACCACTACAGATCGTTCCATTGTAACTCGAGAATAGACTAATACACGTGCGACTCCTAGTCCTCTGTCCCAAGCTGCATGTTTGTGAACAAGAACTCCAGTCACCCCATTGACTAAACCCAGCGTCCATTGAACATGCATTAGTATTGCAGTCTTCTGCCTCCCGATCATCTCCAGAACAAGGTTGTCCTCCGTAGCGCGGAAAAGGTGTATCACACTTTCTTCCCCTTACACGCACTCCTCCTCCACATGACATATTACACTGTGTCCACGTCGACCATGAACCCCAACCTCCATCTATAGAACAAAGTAATATGAAACAGTTCAAAGTCTCCTCAAAAGCCCCGGTGCAGTTTCTTCCGTTATACTGGGGAGCAGGGTTTGAACATGAACGTCTTCTAGCTTTTAACCCCAGTCCGCAAGATTTTGAGCATGAACTCCAATTATTCCATGAACTAAAACCACCATTAATAGGACAGGGACTAGGATTACATGTTTGTGTCTCTGCAATTGTTCCTAGACAGTTAAGCCCACTATTCTGTGGTCTCGGATTTGTACAGTTTCTACTTCTTTGTTGATAACCACTTCCACATGATACACTGCAATCTCCCCAAGCCGTCCAATCACTCCATTCTGTATCGACAGGGCAATCAGCTATCGTGCAATTTACATTTTCCCAGGAAGACCCTGAACAATTTCGGCCATTGTCGGCTGGCACTGGGTTAGTGCAACTTCGACTTCTTGTTTTCATTCCTGTTCCACAACTCTTACTGCATTGTGCCCATGATGACCATTCACTGAACCCCCCATCGACAGATGCTATAATAGACATTTTCATAAAATATAGGCTTTTATATTTTATGAATTACATATAGTGAAGAACTTTGTTTACAATCCTTTTATGCACGAAAAAGATTTTTTTCATAGTTTAACAATTTCGAAAATTCAAACTCGTAAGAAAATACCTTGGCATGTCCTATTTTGCAGTGCATTCTGAATTTGTGGAAGGGCTGAAAAAGAAGAAACTTGGAACACATGTTCATTGCTGGGAAAAGAAGCAATTGCCTTAAGTTCCTCTGTGTCTGGACCAGTGCCTACGCCGATTGCAAATATTCTTACTTCATGACTGCGAAGTTGAGCTGCTTGATGCTTTGTTTCATCGGAATCGGTAGATTTTCCATCCGTGCATAGAATGACAATATTAGCAGCATCTGGCCGCCTGACGTTAAATATCGATTGTCTAACATATCTGAGAGCATCATCGGTCTGTGTGGAGCCTCCAGATCTAAAAGCAATATTGTCCACAGCAGATAAAATGCCCGGGAGGTGAACATAATCGGCAAACCCGAACTTCTTAGTTACAGTTCCACTGAATGTAATCACACCAAATCTAAATAGCTTTGAATATAGACCCGTAATGATGTCTTTCACGAAAGATTTCATTTTGATAAAATTATCCGATCCGACACTGCCACTGTCGTCCATTAATATCAAAATATCCGCAGTTCCACAACCTTTTTAAAGTAAAAAGCAAACATTTAAGGTATGGTTTTGTGGACGACTGATATGCCCCGTGGTTTCAATTATTAAGCTACAATATATTAATGCTTGATATCAAGAATTATGTCTATATATTATGTATCTAGCCCTAGTCGTCATAATATTACTTGACAAACTAAATTTCTGATACTTCGGAATCTTACATAAGCTTCAAATAAACTCAATCTCGACCCTTTTTTCCTTTTAAATAGTGTTGATATAAGGCATTCTTAAAAATTACTCCAAGGAATATGGCATTTTTGAAGGGATGCTACCATACTGATTTGATCAGTTGTTGTATAACTATTCCGAAGAAGATAATTTATAGATTCCACAACTTCGACACCCCTAGTTCTAAATGCGATAATAAATTTGTATTCTTCAATAGGATGTTTATAGTAATGGGACTGCTTTTGTTGTTGCCGATACTATGAAAACACTTTGCATATTCTGTTTTCAAATTCCTATGTAGATGTTTAGTCCCCCTTTTTTGTGGCCCCACCCTAGCCCAAAGGATTCTAATTGAAATAAAATTCAATATACACTGCATTCATTCTGGTGCTATTTGCATATGAATTAGAGACATACTACGTTTTGAATATTTTCTTTCATATTCCTTAAATATGTAAAACAATTACATGTACACCCCACTACAAATTCTGGTCCAACTCTCATTCCACAAGCATTGATTTTTAGAAACTTGAATTTACAACACCGTAACGTCTGCATATTATTTTAATTCATTGGTGTATGTGATTTTTCCCTTAACATCGCTACTTATAATTAAAACTTTTGTAATGATCTGAAGAAAATATATATATATATATATATATATATATATATATATATATATATATATATATATATATATATATATATATATATATATATATATATAATTTTCATGAGAATTTTTTTTTTTTTTTTTTTTTTTGACTATTTGCCTCAAATGTCTCTAGTGTGGTCGAAATAATTATGAAATATGGAGATTACGAACAGTATTCAAGCTCAAAGTCCATTAAAACAATACAAATCTGCAAAATGCAATGTTTAAGGAATGAACATTGTCAAATTTCAAAAATGAAACTGATAATTCAAACGTACTGTTTTGGTGGGTGGTAATACTCGGACTTGGTGGCTTTTGTTTGGGGCTTACAAAATCGGAAGGAGAAAATTTTTATTTCTGTTAAATTTGCCTTTAATTCTTTTGATACGCCCATACACTGCATAAACTATGCTGAGCGGCGCAGTGCGTACTGTATCAAATTGCCATGTAAAGTTCTTAAAGAGTTCCAACATGGAAATTTAGTTGTCAATAGAAGTGTTGGAACATTTTAATAGAGGTCAAAGGCAAGAATTGCTGAACGCAACCGGTAAGAAAGGTGGTTGTATAGTGGAAATTACGAGTTCCTCAGCTGGTGCTCTAGAATGATTTTTTTTAGATTGAACAGGGAATTGAAATTGAAAAAAATTGAAAGGGATAAAGTGCTAGGATTCTATCACAGGTGCTTGTGGACAGGACCCCCCCCCCTTTCCGAATATACACTATGGGTCCAAGGATATTTTTATTCGTCTTTTTCCATAAATTAATCTTCTAGTATACATTTACAATGTATTCTATATGAAAAATCCATATATATATATATATGGATAAAAAACTTTAGGTATCCAGGCAGACGGAGAAAATTGCATGTTTTTTAATATTTACATTGTACTGGTATTTTTGTCCCCTGCTTTCAATGAAAGTGGGGATATTAATTTGGATCTGTCTGTGCGTCCGTCTGTCTGTATTTCTGTCTGTCTGTTTATAACACTTTCGTTTCCATGCGATATCTCGAGAAGCCTTTGAGCTTTTGCAATAAGATTTTACATCACAACTCCCTATCGCCTAAAAATGACCTATATTAATTTTGAAGTTAAAAGATCAGAGGTCAAGGTCATAAATTCATACATTCTGTCTGTATGTAACACTTTCGTTTCCGGGCGATATCTCAGGAAGCTTTTGACCTTTTGCAAAATGTCCCACCCCATTTTATTTTATTTGAGTCAATTTTTTAAAATCAAAAATCAATTGGAAATTTGTTGGCATCGAGTACGCTTAAAGCTTTAGAGTTACTCCCCGTTTGTATTAAAAGTGGCGTGGCACTATTTTTAGTAGAGGAGCATGTGGAGACTTATTACATATAACACAGGTTCTCGGCGGACTTTATATATTATTACATGGTAAAATCTATTAGAACTCTAAAGCAAAGACTAAATTAGACACCATGTGTTGTGTAAAATTTTGACAATATCGAACGTGTCAAGAACGAAAAAATGGACGTTATTAAGGACAGTGGAAATCTGTGATATTTTCAGACAAAGCACAAGTATTTGTAAGTCAAACGAAAAATATATATTTAGAAAAAGCATAACATGTAAACCACCAATATACACAAAGTATTTTGAACCCCGCCTAATTTCATACCAGGAGTTATGACGTGTGGCATGTACAAATGTTCTCATAAAATCAGTATAACATTTGCCAATATAATTGTGCCCCCTCAATAATAACGCCTGATTACATTTTTTTTTTCGCTTGTCAAAGAATTTTGGTAGTTGATAGTGGACCCCCCCCCCAACTGAAAATGTATAGTTGTGCCCCCTCAAAGTGAAATTGCTTCCTACGGGCCACAGTGTGATAAATATTTTTTATAAAAAGTCTTGTATACATTTTAAAGAATAACTGGTCAAATCTTTATATCCATATTGGCATTTAGATGTGAAAATATTGTATAAGAAGATCGTTATGTAGATGTTTACAATAAAAGAAAATAAAAAATAAATCCGCCCATCCGCCCCAATTTTTAAGCACATTTATGTGGCCTTAATGCCAAGAGATCAAGGTTAACCTTTTCTCTTTGTCCATCTGCAAAATTTTCCCATGTCTTCCACCATCTTCCTGGCGCGGATCCAGGAATTTTTTCGTGAAAGGGGGAGGGGGTCCGCCAAAATCTAAATTCCAATCCAGAAATTTGTTGACAAGCAAAGAAAAAAAACCCTTAATTCCTTTCCCAATTTAACCGTGAAAAACCTATTTCTTAACAGGGGTCCACGTTTTCGAGGGGGAAGTATATGTGTACAGGGAATAATAGCAATGTACTGTGAAGTTCAACAATCTGTGCAGCGAATTTCTGTGACGTACAGTGGAAAACAGTAATTCTCATCCAACAGCCCATTGGGAAATAAATACTACGGCTAGCCATATATATATAAATATATGTGGTGTGTGTTTGTGTGTGGGTTTAAAATGTGGTGATGACATGTATCGGTTTGCACCTCTAGCTTTTGTCATATTAGCATTGTACATCGATGTCATATTGGTACTGCTATTATTCTTTCTAGAAATAAACAGACACTTGTGGATGGTAGCTGGAACCTTTGAAAGCCTGCAGTTTTTCCTGTTTATGTTGTTGTGGAGATAAATAGATAAATACTGTTTTTCACAGCTTCGGAAACAATTCGTTAATTCACTTCAGACATCGACATAATGTGATGCATATCAATGAAATCTTCCCTGAAGGTGTACAGAGACAACTATGAGCTAATAGAGGGTTGAGGAGAGGGACAAATAACATAAAAAAATCAAAGTGTGTAAAAAGAATTGTATATAAGTTGTCAAGACACAGTGTCCACTAACACGCTTTGAAAATTATTATTTTAAATGGGAAATCAAAGAGCCCTGAGAATACATTCTCCGATTACATATACATACAAAGCTAGCTGCAGAACTGTAGTGTTATGGTTTATATTTTAGTATTTGACCATATGGTCAACGACTAAAATATAAAAACCATAACGTTACAGTTCTGCAATGAAATATGAAGATAACGAACAGTATTCAATATCGAAAGTCCAATGAAACGATACGAATTTGGAGCAGAGCAAACACGGACCTAAAAATTTAGAGGTGGGATCAGGTGTCATGGAGGAGTAATACAAAGCGAGCACAAGACACTGGTGCGAAAATAGGCAAATACTGGTAGGTCCACATTACCAAGCCCAAATGAGATAGGATGGAAGTTGAATAATGGTAGTTTCCTAAAAACTTAAAACTAGACCATTCCAAAGATTTTCCTAGATTTTATTTCTTTCAGCTCCACCATTTTTGGACATATGCAAATGTAAAATCTTGAACAAAAAAGAATTTAGAAATAGATAGAAAACGCACAAGAGAAAATTCGAACTTTATAGGTAAAATGGCTAAATTTTATGAATTTAAGTGATAATTTAAGTGTTTCATTATCATTTGCTAGTTGCAATCCTCCAGTAAGATTGTTCGCGCATTCTTTCTCTCGTTTAAATGATCTAGTTGCAATCCTCCAGTTAGATTGTTCGCGCATTCTTTCTCTCGTTTAAATGATATTGAAATTGACATTGTCAGCCATTTTGACCATTTAACGCCATTTTTATGAAGGCTAACATGTTGTTTCGGATTCAGCATACTCAAAGTAGGTTAAAATTCATGCTGGACCAAATAATATTTTTTTGCCGTCACACGTACTTTTTTGTAAATAGGACCAGACAATACGTTCTATTTCCATTAGTGAACTCCTCAAAATTAGAGGCGCTTTTGGTCGTCTTACTGGGACAGCATGGCGTTGCAGATAATACAAAACATGCCAATCTCAATTCAATTTTAAACGTTAAATGTATTTGTCATTCCAATTAAAGAAAAGAAGAACTAAAAGACATATGTAAGAGAACGAGAACCCTAAATTTATCACCCATTAATAAAAAATACGACATTTCCGAGGCATGTGTATTGTATTTAGAGGTACCAAACGATAAATACGTACATACGATCAACAATAGATATAAATTGATATCGTTGTCATTCCAACTCTTGATGTATATAAATTTCAAAACAATAAAATATTTCATTTGCATTTTCTTAGGATCTGTTCATCGACATTCAACATATTGTTTTCATGTTTATGTTACGTTTGTCCCAGAAATCCCGCGAGATTTGTACATTTTCCGACTTTATCACAAAAGAGCGCACTAAGAAGTATAACTCTTCCATAGTGGAAATAGAACCAATTGAATATGTTTGAGAGGGATCAGTGCTTCGTATACAGCTAGCACATCCTTGATTCACACTTCTTTTACCAGCAAAATAATCTGTTAGAAGATCACTTGCTAAAATGTTTTGATCGTTACTTTATTGTTCCCATTCCGTTTGTTTAATTCCTCTCCAATACGAAGGAGTTCCTTTTACAACAGGTAATCGCAAAATTCATTTTTCTTTTAATTCACATTCTGCATAAAATATGTAAAAGGGAAAAAGAGAAAGCACCAATTTCTTAGCATATAATTTAAAAATTTACTTAGAAGAGAACCATACCGCTTATACTGCTTTCCTTAAACTCACAAGACACCCCGGCGTCCTCACTATGCTGACAGTTATGTGTATTCCAGCCACTGTGCCGACATTGTGAAATGAACCGTTCACTTCCTGTGCAACCGACATCATCAAGCAATATTGGACCCACACCATTAGGAAACGATCCCCCGCCTTTTGCAATAGAATTGTTCCTTATGTATGAAATGAAAATAGAAGATAACGTACAGTGATCGATGAAAAAAAAACTACAAACAATTCAAATTTGTTAACATGGCATAAAACAGGGACCCCTGGAAATTCCTGAGGTGGGATCAGCTGGTTCCTAAGAGGAGTAAGCACCACCTTTTGTTTTATTAGGCATATCAATATATTTTTTCCTTAGCCGATTATTCGATTGCACTATTCGAAAGATAGTCGAATGTTCGGATCATTTTCTGAAAATAAAATTTTATTTTAAACTTCACTGGTACGTTACGTATTTATAACTCAAAAACATTTTTACCTAAATTTATACCAAAAGTAACATCAAATGTCTTTGTTGCACACAGATGTTCACAAGAACATAACGTGTTTATATGAAATTTTAGACTGGTAATTTCTCCAAAATGTATGATTCCCCCGTCAATCGCATTCATAAATCGGTCTGTAAAAGAATTGTCCACATGATATTTTTAAAGCTTTAAGTTAATAAAATAATTGGGAAAAGGAGGGTGGGGGATGTAAACACGATGTATCCATACTTCAGGTGCCTGTGATATTGTAAAACAGTTAAATACTGCTTGTTCAATTGTTGATTGCCCCGACTAACAGAATGTCTTTACAATATAAGAGAATTGTTTTAAGGACGGATGATATAAACAAAAAATGGATGCATGGATTGATATATATTTTTGAAGTTATTTTGGTTATACATGTACATGAAGTAAATTTCAAATTTATATCAAAAAATTGTAAACTTTCTAGGATGCTCGAAATTCTACCTATTTAGCCGTCATCCTAATAAATCTATACAACTTTCATCACTTTAAAGGACATTATTGTGAAACTTTAAATGAAAAATTATAATCTATGCGGCTAAACTTATTCATATTACTTAAATAAACATGGCTTTAGTGGTAATTTTTATGATTTTTGAGGAAAGTTTGTATCATCTGTCCTTAATAATATTCGAGAAGGCTCACTGGGGGCCGCCAGAGAAACCCAAAACTCTCAAAACTGGCCACATGATATAACTTTTTATCGCCGATATATGGCTGAAATAGTGCCGATTTAGCGTAAAACATTAATCAATCAATCAATCAATCGTTTTCGAAGTGTCAAAACATGTCACGGTTACGGTTTGTTCCCTGCATTTGAATTTTCTTAGAAAACAAAATATAATTGGTGCATGGTACATGTATGAGATCAGGTCTTATTAAAAAATTAAAAAAAAAAAAAAACAAATCCAGTAAAGTGATCCATAATTTATTACAAAAGAACAAAGATATTAATTGATAAATAACTCCCGCGATAGTGGAGTATCTTTCCACATGTACACAGAGAGTCAATAGTTTTTGTTGATGAAAATTTATTTATTTTATCAAATGTGTCTGAGGAAAAACGGTTTCTCAATTTAGAGATGAGAATTCCATCTCGTTTTCACTCTTCCATTTCATTTATTTATTTGAATGTCGTTTTGTCATTCGATCGTCGGTCCATTCGACTGAACGTAGTAGTCGACTATTCGTTTATATCCCTAGTTTGTGACCGTGTGTCTTTTACACCACATACACACGTACAGATATATCAAATTCGTTTGCGCAAATCAGTTATTGCGATTGAATAAACAATTCTACTCATTTATAGCCATCTTCGCATGCTCACAGTTTTGTATCGGCCCGGATCCTCTTTGTAAAAGAGTGAGTCAGATCGAAACTCTGTGCTAGCAGGAAAAAAGGTGAAGATGACGAACAGTGATTCATTCTCGAAAAATCTATAAACAATACAAATATGTGAGCAGGGCATAAACCACGGACCCCCTGAAACTCCAGAGGTTAGATAAGGTACCTAGGAGTTCGTTAAGTTTGTACAAAAAAAAAATAAATAAATAAATAGCGATAAATGAATATATTTAAATTGCATTTCGACATAATTTTATTTATTCATTAACCCATAGTGAGTGACTTTATTTAAAGCTTGCAAGAAATAGTACGAAAATCACCTCGAAAATCCTAGCATTGAGCAGATCACTGCTGCATCCTCATTATCCCATCCGTCATCGCAGATTGTTCCCCACGAACCTTCATGATGTATTTCAACTCGACCTTCTAAAGACGTTTTCCCACCGACTAGTCGCACAGCTCCATCTGTTACAAGAATTTAATTCATATTAAACCAAAATTATGGTTTTGGTTAAAATGATATGGTCCAAGTTTGCATGTACATTAATCTGAATAAATGTTTACTGTAAATATCATGCATTAACGTGTGATATGGTTTGTTCCTTTGATTAATTTGCGATTTTACACTACAAAAAAGTGTAAAACTGCATCAAAATTTACCATTGCAGGTAAATTTGTTGTTTCTGTAAATCACTTTTCAATCGCGACAACTTTTTTCGGGTAATTACGCGAGACGGTGTGCTCTTGAAAATTCCACTCACGCGTAGATTTTTATTGACATAGGATATATACAGCAATAACGGGCATTCATGAAAAGTTTGTCTCGCTTGTAAATACCAAATACCTACATGTATCTCGCTAAAATAATGTTTCGCGAATAATTGGTGATCTACAGTAGTTAATTAAATTAACTGATAATCCTGGTAAACTTTTATTTAACAAATATTAATTTTTATTTGGGACTTGGTCAAAGGGAATGGCAAAGCCCCCCCCCCCCTTTTCCACGAAATTTTTACGATTTAGAAAGACCCATACAACAGGTGTGGCAGCAGATAGGTCAGCCTTCTATTCAGAGGTATTTTGTATCCTTGAGGAAACGATGTGTTGCAGTAATTAGAGCAAGAAGTGGTCATACTCCATACTGATTAATTAATGTGAATTTTCATTATGAGGGTATATCATGTTCTTTACACTTTGCTTCAAAGTCTGGTCTGTCGAGATACTAACATAAAATTTACAACCATCAAATTAAAAACATATATCATTAACTATGAATTAAAATTACTTATTGTATGCATTTGTTCTTTATAACTTAAAAATGCTAGGTGCACACTACGAAATTGACAGGGTCCGAGAACTACACTGATTTGTTGGACTTGAGAATGGATCTGTTGCCCGAAACGTTTAGCTAATATAGCACAACGAATTTGATTCAGTTCGCAGCCAATGTCCTTGGACCCAGTTTTGTGACACATCTTCACTAGCTGTTTCAGGTTTGTTTCACAAAATGTACACGTATTGTTGATTTGTAACTTTTAAACTGTGTCTGCAAAATACATTTTTCACGAGTTTAAAGAAAAAAAATATACTTGATATTAAATATCGTTTATCAATGTCATTTCATTGACGTAATGTATTGTTGATGTAATATAACATAACCTGTTTAATTGAGTTTTCAAATGTAATCTACACAATACAGAAGGACCTGTTTTTTTAACCTTGTTTACATTTTTTAGTGTTTCTGCTCCACGTTTATGTCTGTCGTCATTCTAGAAATAGCTAGCACATCAATTGCCGAGCAGCACACTCAACGGTCAAGAGTACGCGACTGCTGTAGCCAATGAAAATAGAGCAGGTGGTCAACAGTGAGAAGACTTGACCGTGACCCGGTCAACAGATCAGGAGTGCAATAAATTTGGAACTTTTTTTAACGTAATGTTGGTTTTAAATTTTAATAGTTTATTAAGAAGAAAAAATGAAGGTGTATGTATAATAAAAGAAACGATCATGATACGACTGAGAGAAGTTTAAAGTTTGGCTATTGCATTGCCAATGTAAGGTCAAAGGCAACAACTCGTTATTGTGCAGTTCGTTGTGAATGTTTCCACCATAAAACGTCTGTCCGTTGTCTGAGAGGAAGTGGAAGGGTAACTGACTGTGACGGAAAAACTGATAGAAACCGATTTCACGAGCTTTGTCTGCGATCTCGTCGACCTTACAGCGAGTGCTTTTATAACTCCTGCACGTCAAACGGCTAATTTTCCAGCATGATTACCCCATGTAGCCATGTAGAGTTTGTCGAGACCCTATTCTTTGTACGAAATGATGATATTCAAGTACCTTGGTCAGAAAAGAAGCGAAAATAGTGAACCTTGCAGTATTTTACTAAATGCCAATGCCAATATTGTCCCCTTCTATCAACACAAAGACATCAGTCCACTTTATATCATTTGTCTTAATGCATGTTCAAACTAGATGTGTCAGGGTTAAACGAATACCCCAGCTGATATGCGAATTTTAAATACCGGTAGGTGAAAGTCCAAGAGTGCAAAAATGGGTGGACATGGCAAAAAATACACTGTAAGATAAAATTATACTGCTGAATCTGATTTCTGGAAAAGGTTGTCTATACAATACATAAGCATGTATAAACTTTAATTACACATTAATGATATGTAAAATTTAATATTGATAGTTTCCGTACATGATAAATATGAAAATCGTTATTTTAGTATGGAGTAGGTAGTATATCTATCTATATTTTGGTAAAAGGTGGTCAATTTTCCTTCTCATTTTATTTTGAGATATAGCAGTCCGTCTTAAATCCATCCTTTCAACATCAATGAACTCGCGGAGCAGTGGTATGATTGCTGGAATGTAAATGCAGTGCATGATTCCGAGTTTGAGCTCAACATTTTCCATTTAGGCTTTTTGAAAATGTTTTTTATTCCCGCACTTTCTAAAAAAAAGTTCGGATATACTGTTGTTACCCTGGTCCGTCTGTCACATTTTCTTCTTAATGAAATATATCAAGATAACGAACAGTATTCAGGCTCAAAAGTCCATCAAACAATACAAAATAGAAGCAGAGCAAACACGGAACTCCAAACATCAGAGGTGGGATCAGGTGCCATGGAGGAGTGAGCATCCCCTGCCGACCGGTCACACCCGCCGTGTGCTCCTTGTCATGATCGGGAAATAACGGAAAAATCCGTCGACAATTCAGTGTGTAAATAATGGTCTAACAATTAGTAAGAAAAACGTCAGTCAGCATTTGACTCAATGATCAATTGTATTTGCTGACAAGGTCATTGTATCGACCATAGAACTTACGAAATGATGACTTTAAACGAGACTGCTGATATTCTTGTTTCATCAACTTGTTTGTCAATAATTTACCTCGTTTTAGAAATTGTACATACGTAGAGCATGCTCTTGCGCATCGAATCAACTGAGAGATATATACCCCGTATGCAGGTGATGAAGGTATATTGCTGCATAAGTAAGGGAAGTTGACGATTGAAAAGTTAAAGTCATCACGTTTATCATAAAGCTTGGTTGTTAGATTACCATTCTTTTCCAAGTAAAATATCCAAATATGAAACAGATGTGTCAGACTCTGTGGTATCTTTTATCTCAAGCTCACAAGGATATATCGTATCGACATAAGAATGGAAATAGCCATTGTTAATTGACAATACGTCGTCGATATATCTAAATGTCGAGTTGAAGGCCAAAGCAAGTGTTTTCTTCTTTCGCACAAGATTTTGGACAAATTCTGCTTCATATGAATACAAAAAAGGGTCTGCTAATAACGGGGCGCAATTGGTACCCATGGAAATTCCAATAGATTGTTGGAAGACCTGGTCTCCAAAAACCACTTAGATATTCTCATTCAGAAACTCAAGCATCTTTTTAATGTCAACTTCAGAGTACTTGTGTGTACAACCAAATAATTTTTTAACAAAATAATTTCGCAAATGACCAAAGACAAGGTAAGTAAATTTACGAGTTCCATTTTTATTAAAAAAGCAGCTGTCAATGATATCAAAAAGCCTGGACTTTAATTTATCGTGGGGAATACTCCTACATTTTAAGCAGAATTCAATTAATCTTTTGGAATATGATAGGTGGTGTCCTATAGATGTGCAATAAGGTTTTGGAATTTTCAAATTTAACTCTGGGGGGCAAAACGGGGGTTAAAAAAAACCCACTTTTTTTCTACAAAAGCCCGGTTACAGAACTCTTCCTATATTTTACGCAGTAGCTTAATCATCTCTTGGAAGATGATTAGTTGTGTCCTGTAGATGTGCAATAAGGTTTTGGAATTTTCATTTTTCACCCTGAGGGTCAAATGGGGGTTGAAAATATGACGTTTTTTTAATATATACAAAAAGACCCTGGTTCACGGAACTCCTCTTACATTTTAAGCAGTAGCCTTATCATCTTTTGGAAGATGATTGGTGGTGTCCTTTAAATGCGCAATAAGGTTTCGGAATTTTCATTTTCACCCTGGGAATCAAACGGGGGTCAAAAAAATGACTTTTTATTTTATACAAAAAGACCCTGGTTCTCAGAACGGCTATTGCATTTTATGCAGTGGCTTAATCATCTTTTGGAAGATGATTGGTGGTGTCCTGTATATGTGCAATAAGGATTTTGAATTTTTTATTTCACTTTGGGGGTCAAATGGGGGGGGGGGGGGGGCGAACAATAGCGATTAAGGTCTTAATGTCAAAGATTTCATGAGTTATGGTCTGGTTGTCTTTTTTCTCAATTTAAACTTGAACGAAGAAAGGGTCAAGGTTAACAAATTGATGCAGCAAACCTTGTGTCAATGTCTTCTATCCATGTTCCAAAATTGAATTCATAATGTCAAGGGTTTTCAGATTATCCCCTGAATTATATTTTCATGTAAAAGATTGACCTTGACTTTATAAATGAGTCAAGGTAAAAAAAAATATTGGCATGCACTCTTTCTCCATACCACCTCTCCATGTTTCAAGGTTGTAATTTTAATGTCAATTTGTCAAAGGGTTCTTAAAGAAATACACGCTATATAAACGCCGATTTTTTATGTAAAACAAAATGATTAAATGGTTTGAGAAACATGATGAAAACGTAATGAAAAAATAATACCTTCCACAAAGTTTTACTAAATAAGTCGTTTTAATTACAAAACAATTAAGCAAGATCTGCAATTAAAAGTTCAGCCTTTTTAATTAATATTGATGAAGGAAGTGCGTAAAGAGTACATAGGCACACATGTCCGCGGGAAATCACAGACGACGAGGTACGTTGCATTTTGACTTTTTGACTACGGTTATGGATGAAAGGTTAATATCTGTCATAACAGAGTAGATGGTTAATGGACCTTTGCGAGAAGCACTGACTTTTACTGTCGACGGCTTACTTTTACATTTAAATCTGTCTTATGTACGGAGGTACAGAGTTGTTAATAGACA